AAGGAGTGGCACGAGGGAGAAGAGAACGAAATCGCCAAAGAGAGTCAAAGATAGAGCGGCCAGGTTTTAGTGTATAGCTCCGAAAAAACATATTTTTGAAGCAGCTGGGTTTTAGGGCATAGCTCCAAAAACTATATTTTTGAAATAGCGAAAATAAAAATTCTATATTTTTTATGTTTCGAAAACATGTATCTTGTATTTAAAAAATAAATTAACAAACATTTTTTTTTTATTTTTAAAAGCAAAAAACCGAAAACATAAATTGATATCAAACAACCCCTAGAATTAAAATTTGAATCTTTTAGTTTTTTAGTGTATTAAAAATTTATGACTTATATTTCATTCACATAAAATTAGGAAAAAGCTAGAAATGAGGACTTACAATGTAGCAATAAGAAAATATCAATCTTAGAAACTGAAATTATGTTGAGAATCACTAACAAAGAAGTAATTAGAGCCTAATTATAACAAAAGCATAAATTTTACAGCTTGGATTAACATAAGCTAGACTTTTCTAGATCTACTACCCTTCCTAAAACTTTCAACAAAATAATTTCACTAAATCATTTTAAAATTATTAGATTAAATCTTCATATAATATAAAATGGGCATTTTTTACTTATTTTAAATTGAGACTTGGCAATTTAACCACTAAAGTTAAGCATCCCAAGCATAAATAGTATACAATGCCTTCATCTAATGCAATTGTTTTTTCTTATCTGATTCTTAAGTGAGAAGCATTTTTTTTAACATGGGACATAAAGAGCATGTATGTTGTGTGAAAATAATCACTTAATATCAATTAGAGTTAACTATCCATGAATAACTTTCTAATTCTTTTTTTTATCTATTTCTAAATTATTTATATATTTTTTTTTTAGTTATGAGCCTACCATCATAGCAAGCACATGTCATGTTTGTAATATAAAAAATATATAAAATAAAACAATTTAATGAAACAAAATAACAATAATAATAACAAATAAATAAATAAAATATAAGTATAATATAATACTTAAAATGATAAAAATTATAAATAACAAAAATGAAAATAAATTATAATATGTAGAATAGAAAATAATAAGAGTATTAAAAAAATTTCTCATTCAGACTTGCACTTTCTCTCTATTCGCATGCTCTTTCGCCCTCTCCCTCTCTTGAATTATTCGGCAACTCCTCATATTGTCGTGTTGTTGTTGACCACTAAAATTCATTGCATTGTCACTATGAGTTTATCAAATTGTCGCGTAGCTACTAACCACCATCGCGCCACTAAAGTTGATTTTTGGACTACCTGTCGTGCAAAATAATGCAAAAAAAAAAAATTACCCAACAAACATACAACCAAACATAATTTAATTGGTGTGGTTCGGTACAAACCAGCCTACTTTCATGGGGAGAGCTTATTCTACTCTCAATAGGTTAAGAGAGGAAAATCAGCTAAATTAGTGTTACAACTCAACACATACCACAAATCATCCATAATCCCTCCTATAAATAAGGGAGAATTAGGACATAGAAATTATGAATATTTCAAATATTAAAAGATTGTGTAATTAGATCTCCTCTAGTTAGATTTCATCATATATAAAATATTATTTAATTATATCTCCTCAAATAGGTTACCTAATATTAATCTTCCAAATATACACACTTCCTACTTCATAACTACTAAATTTAATATTTTTCATAATAATATCCACCTCATCTCTCACTTCCAAGTAAGTGGAAGATGACCAAAATGAGCTCCAACACTACAAAAACTACACCAAGATGGTTGTAGACATACCCTCTCCTAAAGGCTCAAGCCTCACATTGTTCTTCACAATGTCTAAATGCACAATCAATCATAAGCTTGGATGTTTACCAAAACTTTATAGTAAGTGAACTTCTGGACTAGTTGTACTGTGAGCATGCTCATTGGATTTTTTCCATATCCATCTTCTTTAACAGAACATTATCGTCATCAATCAAGTCTCAAATAAAGTGGTATCTCAAATCAATGTGTTTAATACATGCATGATAAATTTAATTTGTGGCCAAGAATATCCATCCTAAATATCACATAACATTGTCAGAGACTTCTAATCAACTCTAAAGTTATCCAGTAGGTCGTATATCCATATCACTTCCTTCATTGCTTACATGATAGTCATGTACTCAAACTCTTTATTGAACAAAAAATAATAGACTAAAGAATTGGTCTTCAATTGATTGAACCACCTATCAATGTGAATAAATAGCCAGTCAGAAACATGTGTTTATCCATATCACATCCATTGTTTGAATCAATGTAGCTTACACATAAATAGATGAGTGTCTTTAAAAAACCAAGCTAATATCAGTAATAATTTTTAGATATCTCAAAATACTCTTCACAGGTTGTCAATGACTCTTTCCTAGATCACACATGAGCTTGTTTATCAATCGCTCATGCAATGACTAAATCCGTACAAACCATGACATACATCAGACTACCCACTACATTAGTGTAAGGAACCATTCACATATATTTTCTCTCCAAATCATCTTTTGGGCACTGATCTTAACTTAATTAAAGGTGAGATACAATGGCTAGACTCACAACATTTCTCGAGTCATCAATCTCCAACTTCTTCAACACATTTCGAGCATATGCTCCTTACGAGAGCCAAACCATTTCAGCTACCTTGTTTTGAGAATTTTCATGCCAATGATTTTGTGAGCTTCGCCCAGTTCTTTCATCTCAAAACATTTGGATAATTGCTTCTTCATCTTATCAATCTCAGTATGACTAGCAGATATAATCAACATGTTATCAACATATAAATACATGTAGATGAACTCATTATTATCCAACCTTTTAAAATATGCACAATGATCGCATTGGCTCTTCATGTACCATCATAAATTTATTAAACTCATATATAACTTTTATGGTGACTACTTCAACCCATATAAAAGCTTGTCTAATCTGCAAATCAAGTCTTTCAAGGCTCTATATCGAGGCAGTTGTAACATATAGATCTCCTATTATAATTTTCTATATATGAACACAGTTTTTACTCCAAATTTCTCAAAAGTAAATCATATTATGGTATAAATGCTAAGAGAACATGGATTGAGGAATGTTTGATCGCTGGAGAGAGCACCTCATCATAGTTAATCCCTTCTCATTATGTAAAGTCTTTTGCTACTAACCTAGTCTTGTACCACACATCAACTCCATGAGTTCCTTCCTTCTTTGCATACACCCATTGCAACCAATGGTATTTTTTTCTAGAGAAAGCTTCACTATTCTTCATGTAGTTTTTTAAAGAGACTCCATCTCTTCATTCATCGCCCCTCTCAATGAATCATTGACTGAGATCTCCACTATTTTTCTGTAGTGAAACAACATTTCAGCCTCCATGGCTGAAAAGTCTAAATATAATATGATCTGTCAAATAAGTTTGTTTTGGGATATTTTGGTGTCTAGTCATGCTTCTATCAATAGATTCTTAAGTAGGGACCACATTCTTATCATCTTATTTCACTTCATTTTGAGCACTATCAATAGTTAGCTCGTGAGCTACAACTAAATTAGGTTCCTGAGTATGAGTGAACAAATTTTGTGGAATAAATGGAGTTACATCAATCTCCAACTTCTATTTCATATTTGTGATCCCAATATAATTCTCACCTCTTTTTGTCTTGAGACTACAACAAACTAGTCTCATCAAATGTAACATTCCCACTAATTACAATCTTCTTCTCTACCCGATCATAAAGTTTGAATCTCTTGACTTCATGTATGAAGTTAATGAATATCACCTTTTTTGCTAGTGGTTCCAGTTTATCGTTCTGCATGTGATAGTAAAATGGATACCCAAACACTCATTTGCTTATAATCTCTAGGAGGATGTCCCAACCACAACTTTTCTGGGATAATCTTTTTAATAACTACAAAAGCTAGATGGTTCGCAAAGTGGCAAATATAGTATATGACCTCAACCCAATATACTCTATCCAACCCGGCATTGGATACTTCAAATTTTCTCTACCAAAGTTCAATTCATCCACTCTGTCATCTCATTCTGCTATAGTGTCTCTCGAAAAGTGAAGTGATGTTCTATCCTAACTCTCTGACAGTCTTGCAAGAATGCATTTGATGTGTAAGTGCCCCAATTATCCAACTAGATGCACCAAATCCTTTTCCTAGTTTGAGTCTCAATCATCTTCTTCCAATTTATGAATATCTATAGCACTTTGCTCTTGTGTCTCATAGTGTACACCCAAATATATCTAGAGTAATCGTCCCTAAAAGATACAAAATATCTTCATCTACCAAATGTTGCATCTTCATCACGTGCCAAACATATATGTGACCATACTCTGAAATACCCTTTGTATTGGGGATGTTTGTGCCAAATGATACGAGTATCATCTAGCCAAACACATAATTTCAATAGAAATCAAGCTTGTTGGTGTTCACTCAATTGATCAATCCCAACTATATCAAAGTCTAAAGTAAAGCCTCTTCAGCATGCGTTAGCTACATATTCCGCACTATAATGACGTCAGAAAAATCATGAGCAACAGTTGTGGTATAGCCATTGTACTAATCTAAAGGTAGTAATAATTGTGAAGACGAACTCCTTTCATAAAAAACAGTTATTCACGACATATCCTCAGAAATCCTGTCTCAATAACTACCTTGTAACCCTTGGTCTCTAAGGTTCCAACTGACAACAAATTCTTTATGATATCTAAAACATGTCAAACATAAGTCAATTCACTCATAGTATCATCATACATTCGAATAAAGACAATGCCTAAACCAATAATACAACAAGCTTGATTGTTGCTCATAGTCACTACACCACTATTCAATTTCTTATATGTATAGAACCACTCTTAATTGTGACAAATATGCTAGGCAGTAACTATGTCTAGAATCTAGCCTGAATTATCAATATAAACTATGAGAAACTGTAAATAAGTAATAAATTTGAGTCCTCGTTCCAATGAGGAAACTCTTTTTCTCCCCTCTTGTTCAACTTCATAAAATCTTTCTTTTGATGGATGAAAGCACAATAAGATTGGCTGCACGTCGTTCCCGTTTAAGTTCACGAAAACCCTTCCCACCCACACGAAACCCTCACGATCTCGCAGATCCCCCTTCCGCCGGCGCTTTCGCGCTTCCCTCCTCTTCCGGGACACGATTTCGCCTAAAGTCGTCCTCTCACAGATCGCTGTCATCACAACCCAAAGAGGTATTTCTCTTCGATGCCTTCTTACAAGGACAGTGTCACCAATGGCATCTCGAGTTCCCGATTTCACAGTGTTTTGTTATCTGCCCTTCGATTTCTCGTCACATCTTTCCCTTTCCCTATCTTTCTCAATTCCAATCTATTCCGTTTCGTCGGATATCGGGAATGTCGGTTCTTGAATTTAAGCAATTGAGAAGGAAGGGTTTGTGAAATTTTTCTGTAATTAATTTAGGCAAGGTAGGATTTTTTTCTTTTGCATTTCAGTTTAGATACCATGCCCTTTTGATTATAATGATCCCTTGGTATTTAGTTTAGTGATTTATGTGCAATCTATGGCCTTCAACAGTGCCACAGCTTTTGCTTTTAATTACTTACTGTGTACGATGAGTGTTATTTTCCAGCAGCACCCATACTTTTTGTGTCAACCAAAGCGTACAAGTTTATTGAAGGTTTTTCTTCTTTGAGTTTTGATTAAACTTTAATCTATGTTCTTTTTTAGTCAAGCTATTTTCTTTGAATGGTGTGCTCTGTTTGTTAATGGCACCCTAAAAGGTTAAAAAAGTGATGCAGGATGAAAGATTTATTAGGTAGATTGGATGCAGATTATTCTTTGAGTATCGTTATAGAATGCTCTGAAAGGTCTATTTCCATGTTCATTGCATAATTGCTCTTGGACTGGAAATTGACCTTATCGCCACCTAATTTCTAATTTCATGTTATAACATCTGTGAGTTTTAGTAAAGTTTTTGCTCCACAATGGTTTGTATTTAATTGATAATCTCACTGATATCTCGTATGTATATTGAAATTAATTTGGCGCTTCTTTTGTTGTATTAACTTTCATTATGTATATTTAAATGTAATCCATAGGTATTAATCATCTAAAAATGATCTCCAATGAATGGGAATCTCAATCCCACACACTCTCCAACTACAAAAGATTACCATGTTTTTTTCATTACAGATCTAAGGTTGTTACATGAATTCTTCATTTTAAGTGTACTCGTCATGTGTAGTAACATTGAGTTATGTTTGTGATAATTTTGTAGATTAACTAACAACTTTTTTTTATTATTCGTGCAGTGACTTTGTAAACATTCAACAAAAATGCTGTGGTGGAAAAGAGAATTTGATGTTAATTTGGAGGTTGTTGGGTTGCAATGAAGAATTAAAACATAAGAAATATGTGGGTGGCAGACATAAGACAACAAAGGTTGAAAAAGATAAAATAAATTTTTAAATGCTCAGGGAGGATGTTGAATTAATTTGTCCTTGGTTAATAGGACATGACTTTGAGCTACACTTTCATGTTAATGGGACTTCGACAAAATAGTACAAGCTTATTGCATCTAATACGGAGTTGAATAAGATGGCTATAGATTGAAAAGAAAAATGATAGGGTTGAAAACTAGAGATCAGTATTATTACTAAAGATGCGAATGGAGAGAGAATGTATTCACACATGAGAGTTGTTTATAGTAGCCATGAAATTGCTGAGTGCCACTTCAGCCATTGACATAGTGGCCGTTGTGAATTTTGAACAGTGAATCTATTGTGTTAGGGTTATAGCTACTCAAGCTGCAGATCACGAATAATTACTATTTCACTCATGTTTCACTGATTCTGAGAGTTTCAAGCATGCCCTTCATACACATGCAATCGCGAAAATTTTTGTACTTAAAGCAGGAGCTAGTGATAAAAATTGGGTTATAGGCACGTGCTACTATCGAGGATGTCGATGGATAGTTGGGGCATCACTATGCAAGGATGACCACACTTTTGAAGTTTGAAAGTTTGATGGAATTCATACATGCCTAGTTGTAAATAAAGCTAGAAATAGACAGCCCACATCTGTGTGAGTCGCTTATGAGATATGAGATGTGGTGAAATCAAAATCTAGATATCCCACTTAGACATATTAAAGATGGTTTAGAGACAACATACTGGTTGTCCCAAGTTATTGCATTCATGGGAGTGAGCTAGAGACATATTTGGATTGGTGAAGGATAATTATAGGTGGGTATCCTCTCTCGCAGCAGAGCTTATTTCCAGAAACCTGGGCTCACACATCACATATTTCTATGATACTCATGATAGTTTATTTCAAAGATTTTATATTAGCTTTAAAGTGTTAATAGATTTCTAGCTAGATGTAGACCACTGATAAGCATTGATGCCTGTCATTTGAAATCTAAATTTTTTTTGGGGTGTTATTTGTTATGAATGCCTTTTGATGGTAACAATGGTTTATTCACATTTGCTTTTGATGTAATCAAGACAGAATCTAAAAATAGCTCGCAATGGTTTTTGCAAAATTTATTTGAATCACTTGGTGAGGAGACCAATTAGCTTTCATTTCAGATATAGAGAAAGTGCTAAGCGAGACAATTAGGATTGTCTTTTCAAATGCAGAGAATAGAGTTTGCTTGCACCACCTATGGAAAAATGTGAAGAAATCCTTTCATTGTCACGATGGGCAAAAGCTCCAAGCATCGGTGCAGTATGTTGCCGGTGTTTATATGCCATTTTAGTCCAACAAGAAATTTGAAGAGATATTTAATGTGAGTCCATAAATCTGCTTTTGTTGCCATTTAAATAGTCTAAAAGCCAACTCTCAGTTGATAAAAAAAGTGATTAAAACAGAAACAATCTGTCAGAGCCTTTTAACTCCTGGATCGGCGAAGTTAGGAGCAAGCATGTTGTTTTTTATCTGGTTGATGTTCTTAGAGGCATGATTATGGAGCAGGGGACTAAAAGAGAAATGATTTGTTATAATTGACGAGGTGAGCTCTCTCCTTAAGTGGAAGACTATACTAGAGATATAACCGCCATAAGCGATCTGTTCTAATGAGAGAATCAACAATAACCAAGGCTGAAGTTGAGCGTCGTCTTGATAGACATGAGGTGAACACCAAAGTGAAGGAGTGAACGTTTAGAATTTTGCAAAATGACAGCGCTAACGTACATTCACACAGTTGCATTTACTAGTAGTAAATAGCACCCATTGTGGAACATCTATGTTGATAATCAGTTCTATATAGCTAGTTTAATTGTTTAATGTTTCTAATATATCTAAATTTTTATTACGAATGCTTACTTTTTAAGTTAATTAAATTCTTTATTTTGCAGGTACAAAATGGCATATGAATGTGCTATTTCAATTCTACCAGTTAATTGACACTGGATAGTTGTTGATGATTAAGTACAGATGGGTCCGCCAAATGCTTCTGGACCTAATATAGCTGTTGATGATTAAGTTCAGATGGGTCCGCCAAATGCTTCTGGACCTAACGGTAGACCAAGAAAAAGAAGATTGCAAAGTTTCTTAGAAGGTGGCAATAATAAGAGCAAGAAAGTTTAGAGGAGCAGCCATGTGATCAATGGGGCCAACACAGAAGCACCTGCAAGAATCCACACATTTTCATGTAATCACGCCAAACGCTGACTACACGTCCGGTTCATCTCAACTAACCAATGCTTCGTGAAGTTGCAGACCCAATTTGCCAATTAGAAAGGTGCGGGTGGTGGAGAAATTCAGTGCCCGTTTGGGGCAACTTATAGGGTGCGGCAGCGTTGTGAAAACGCCGCCTTCTCGTTTGAATATCGCGATCGATGTAAATTTTTGGTGTCACGGCGTTTTATTATCGCGATTTCCTTCATCCCTACGCAAGTCGGACTCCCCCCGCATCCCGCGTATGAATTTTGTGATTAGGGAAGAATTTCTGTGGTGCCCCCTTCTCGCTCGCCCTCGCCCTTGGAGAATCGCAGATCTCCTCTGCTCCTTCGCCTCGCCTCGTACGCTCTCGCCCTTGGAGAATCACGGTTCTCCTCTGCTCCTTCGCCACGCCTCGCAGATCTCCCTCGGCTCGCCCTTTCCACGAAAATCGATCTCCTCTGCTCACCCTTTGCAAGAGACGTCGCCTAGGAAAATCGCACCTATTCTATTTCTCGCCTCGCAGATCTCCCTCGGCTCGCCGATCCTCCTCTGCTCTTTGCTTAGACTGAGATCGGCGCAAGGTATACCCGATATCCCTCTCCTTCTTTCCCGCGAGCCCTAGCATTTTCGATTTTCCTTTCTGATTCCTTTGGTTGCTTTCCCCTGCGATCCTTGGAAAGTTCTTCTTTTCTGTTGGTTTTTTTGGGAGTTGGAGATGCAAGCAATATATTTTTTTAAACTTTTGTTGTGATATATGAATGAATGGTTTTTGGGTATATCCTAGCTTAGATTTGTGGCTTGAGGGTTGCTCCGATTTTTCGTGCATCTTTATTTCGAAGGTGGAGTTCCAAGCAAGCTAATTTCTATCAATTGTGCTGGTTTTTTTGGGAGGTGGAGATACAAGTAATACATTTTTTTTTAATTTTTTCTGTGATATATGAGTGTTCATGAGATCTGTGGCATGAGGGTTCCTCTTATCTAGTAGTTGTGTTTAGATTTATGAAATTGTTTTCATTAGTTTGCACGGGAATGTTTACATTATGGAGGTCCAAGCAAGATATTTGCTTTATCAATGTTCGAACATTAACAGGGAAAAAATTGTTTTCATTGTATGAAACTTAGGAGTTCCTATGTCTATATTGATGAAGTTCTGTAGTATGCCGGTGAATTGTATTCATGAGCTATTTTCGAGTGTAACACACTGGTAAAGGAGCACTTCCATGCTGCTTTGCACTCGTCTCACTGTTTTTTGTTAAGGTTCTCGTTCCATTGTTTGTAAATTGATGATGATTGTGGAAGTAAATTGATGATTGTCGTAGAAGTAATGTGGAGGAAGTTGACATCATGTTTATAAATTTGATTTGTTTCCTTATCTCATCTCATAATTTAGTACAATTTTCTCCTATAGTTTGTATGCTGAGAAATTTGTTTGTATGCTCTCCTATAGTTTGTATGCTGAGAAATTTGCATCATGTTTATAAATTTTTTGTTGACTTACATTATTTACTTGGTATTTATAGTTTAAGTTCCTTATAGTGCGAACATATCTATGGCGAATGAAGGGGGTTTGTCTGCTATGTGGGATAAAGAAGTAACAAATATTTTTTGCGATCTATCTATTAAAGAAATAGAACTTAAAAATAGACCAACCACGTATTTTAACAAGGAAGGTTGACAAAATATTGCGAAGAGGTTTAAAGAATTGACTGACAGAGATTACGACAGGCTAAAATTCAAAAACAAATGAGACCAATTGAAGAAAGAATGGAAAATTTGAAAGGAGCTCAAACGTGGATGTACCAGTTTGGGTTGGGATCCCATTAAGCGGACAATTGATGCCCCGGAGGATTGATGGGCTGAGAAATTGGAGGTAATAAACCCACTTTCATACTTTTATTTTGATTTACATTACTTATTTTTTCTCTAATAAACCCACTTATCCCCCTCTTCCATTATAATGTCACAGGCAATGCCGTCAGCGAAAAAATATAAGCAGTGCGGAATTGACCCAGACTTTGAAGAAAAATTCGACATAGTGTTTAAAGGGATTGTCGCGACAGGAAAATTTGCATTCAACCATAGTGAGATGGTTTTTGCAGGCATATGAGAATGACTTTCCTTCTGAGTCGTTGACAGCTGATGATGAAATGCGTAGTAACTAGAGGGAGATAGGGGAGTCCAGTTCACCTTTAAAGAGGCCCATACTTGGTGGAAAAATAAAGAAAAGGACACATTTGTGAAAATCTCATTTGATCGACTCATAGAAGCTTTCGGTGCTCCACCACCTGCTTCAGTCCTTGACAGCAACATCTTTGAATGTTTAGGAAATTTAGCTTCTCTACATGAAGTAGTTGCAGACAGACGTTTTCATGCAAAGTGTGTCAAGAAACTCAAGGATCCAACCCGTAGGCAAATATTCATGGCGCTGCAGTCAGAATTATGCATCGAATATTTGTGTGTTTTGGTTGAGGAATGAATTTTTTTTTATTTGTTGTTATTTGTAGTTTTTTTTAATGTTATGAACATCTAAATGAGTAATTTTAATATGTTGCCCTTTGTATGGATCTTTTTTAGTGCACTTCTAGATGATTAATGTTTGTCAACAAGTTGATCTTTGTACATTTTCGTTTTAAATGTTTCATGTTTTTCTTGCTTATTTCTCGATCCTACAATGTATTAACAATTGCTGAAATTACTGACATCTTTTGAATTTAGGATGGATCCGCAGCATGAACGTTGTAAAAGAATGACATGGGCTGCAGCTATTGCAATATTGTTGTTGGAGTATTACCGATCCAACAGTGTTCGTATACCCCGTATAACGTCCAATTTTATTGGGGATAAATGAGTAGGTGAAATGCTTTCTGGACATCTTATAATGTTCAACAACATATTTCGAATGAGTGTACTTATTTTTGTGGATTCCTGAATGAGTTATCTCTGAATCACGGCCTCTAAGTTTCCTCACCCGCCTTTAGGTATGATTTGATCTGTAAACGTACTAGTTATATGCATTATTTGTCATTAATAATGTATTCCATAACAGAGCAATAGTATATGGTCGATGTTGGATATCCTATGCAGAGGGGCTACCTGAAGTCATATCCAGACACTAGATACCATATTCTTGATTTTGAGCAAGCAAGTGACACCATCCTTGACAGAAAAGAAATGTTTAACAAATGTCACTCCTCTTTTCGCGGGGTAATTTAAAGAACGTTTAGGGTTTGGAAGAAGAAATGAGTCATCTTACGTGATATGTCGTCGTATCTATTTCAAAAGTAGGTGCATATTGTGGTAACAACAATGACACTTCATAACTTCATCTGAAGACATCATTCACGTTCAGATACGAACTTTAGTATGGCTGGTAACGATGAACCGAATGTCTTTGAAGAACCATCAGCATTTGTGGTTCGGCCTTCAGTCTATGAGGATGAGATTGACTCTAACGAATTTGGGGTTCATGACACTGAGAGTGTGGCTGAGATGACTGCTTTGAAGGAGTCAATCGTAGATGATATGGCAGCTGATCCATCAAGTCTTCTTTACTTTCGTCTGCACATCTTTTTGTTTTTTTTAGGATCTGACCTTTTTTTTTTGTTTCTTCTGATACTCACGAGAGTGTGAGCACTGTATGTTTTCTTTTGAACTGATCTGGGATGCTTTATGGGTTCTGTATTATATACTTCTGTTCTCGTTTTAGTTATGTTGCAAACAGCTTAACCAAACAGGGGCAGAACGATCATTTATCCTACAACAGCTCCCAGTAAGCTATTTTGAATAAGCTGCCTCAAACATCAAACCAGCTTATTCTGATAATCTGCAGATTATTAAATTATCAGAATAATCTGCTGAATAATCAACAGCTGTCTCAAACAGACCCTTAAGATTTTCATGATCCAATTCTTAATGTTTGAGATGCATTACTATGGGTTACAAGCTTTTTGAACTTCAAACTTATATTAATTTTGCTTTTCTGTAACTTTTTGACATTTAGGATTAACAGCAGCTTTGGGTTGCATTTTTGGTAAAACAAAGCTATTTTTTGTCATATTGCTTTACATGGATACACCATGAAAGAACTATTTGGTTGATACTCATTAAAATGGAATTTTTTAGATGAATTTAATCATATAGTTGGTTGTTATGTCCATGCAGTTCAAAAAATCAGACGGTAATGCTATGTTCTTGGCATTAGGAACAAGCTTTGCAAAAATTTTAATCGTCTTTGTTTGACTATGTATAGATTCTTCCATATGCCTCTTCTCATCTATTGCACATTTATTCTAATCATTTGATTTCCATGCTTCTCGAAGAGTCTGCAGCAATTGAAGTTACCTATATGGACCTATGAATGTATTGGATCTTCTGGTAAGTTATACATGACTTATGTTATATTGTTTTTCAATCTTAGTTTATTATTAATGAACAAGTTTGTGAATTTTTTATGGTTGGACATGGAGATAGATCAAGAACAAGCTGCTACCCAAGTGCCTTTTGAGGCTGATAAAGGATCTCATGGAAGATTATATCCATGTGGAAGCTGGTTGTGGCGAAGCTACCAGTAGCCATGATATTGTTGTTTGAGTTTGTAATTTTATTCTAAGATTATATCCCTTCCTGATGAAATGTGGAGGGCTCTTTTTATTTTGAAACTTACTTTACTACACCCAACAAATATGTTTAGAGTTGTGTATGTGCTTTTGTTCATTTTAATAAAATTATATTGGGTTTCATCTTGATATTTATGTGAATTTTTGTGTCACTTGATGTTGTTATTATTTATTTATGAAGTTAATTAAGAGGTACAATCATGAAAGATTGACTAATCTAGTTTATTTGTATTGATAATAGCTGAAAAATTGGAATTGAACAAATAAGCTTTGATACAAGGACAATTTGCTTCAGGATTTATCAATAACCACAAAGGCAAAATAAATCTTCTAAACAACACTTATATGTTACTAAAGCTAAAATATCATTCAATCAAAATGTTGCATTACAAACTCTCATATTCAAAAATTGGTGCTACAAAGTACAGCGAAACATATACTGACAAAGTTCAACAGTACAAACACAGATCAAAAGTTTAGCAATAATAACTCAACACATCACAACTTTGACACCACAAAAAAAATAAAATAAAATAATCGAAACAATTCTATTTAAATAATTTGGAAGCCACTGATATCCTGGCATTGAGCATTCTTTAAACCCGATCTTCTTCATTCCTAGCAAGACTTTCAAGGTCTGTGTTAGAGAATTAGGATTAGGGTGATGTTAGAGGAAGCCTTAACTTAGGGAGCTTTTTTCTTGGTTTCCTTGTGATTTCCATGAGCACTCTTGTTAAAATCTAGCACTTGACCTTTAAGGATGGGATTACATTAATCCTGCAATTGCTTTTGGTAGCTTCACACTTGATGAAGGAGTTGAAGCCTTTTGTAACCTTGAGAATGAATTATTTCTTTCATCCTTCATTTCTTAGGTTTTGAAGGCTATATCTATAGAGAAAACCTTCACTTTCCTTTGTGGAAACCTTATTTGTGATTTGCGCCAAGCAATTGAAGGTAGGCTTTTCATTATCTTGTGTAACGAACAATTGCTAAAAATCATCATCTCGTTGTTTGAATATGTATGTCATGTGAATGGGCATAATTCAATTGTGATTTCGGCAAAGTGTAATCCCTCTTGGGGGGCTTGTACCCGACACAACTGAATCTGAATGTGTTGTATATCAAATTATTTATGATTGCGTGCACATCATGTCATTGTTGCATCATACGCACATTTCACTTGCACGCTAGAGCACCTCATTGCCAGCGTGGCCCCGTTTGACATATGTTGAGGATGGCTAGCTCACTTAGTGCTATTCAATCTCGGGAATCATTCAACGGGTCATATAATTTGGCGTGCGACCTCGTCGCAATGTCTCTTCATGTACATACATTTACTTTGCTTAATGTGGACATACATGCATAGACTTTCACTTGCTTCTTATACGTGGCCGCTATACCTTGCACGACAATATCTAAGTGAACAAGTCGTATGTCGACTTAATGGTTTAGTATGTTACACATGTTCGCTCGCATTTAGCTTGAGTGATCCTGCTATTGTCCTGCTCATCTACGAGTTCTACATCAATACGAAAGAATCTATGGATGGCAGGTCTACATGTGAGGGAAGTTAATACCCTTTGACCCTTCCACCATAAACAGCCTTTTTGATCTCCCCAACATACCCAATGCGACTTTTGAGTGTTTTCTGGCTTTGGATTATCAATAAGTTTTTACCTTCCTGACTGAAGGCACCGATCAGTGGAACATTCGTTCTGGAGAGGAGGGAGAGGCTCTTGTAAATTTTCCTTAGACTTATTTGAATTCCATCTTTCATTCCTGACATTACTTCATTGTTGCCCGTCTGCTTCCTACCACTAGTCTCACTGATGTTACTAGGCATAGAGTTGTTCTAAATTTCTATATCTAGACGGGCAAGTCCATAAATATCTGGATCATTCTCCACCACTCTATCATGCACATTGCCAGTGGTAAGATCAGTGTATGTTTAGGACACCCCTGTATTATTTCTGCCCTTTGTTATAAAGAGGGGGTTGGTGGAGGGAGTGGATGAGATGCTTGCTTCACAGAAGGGGATCACCATGACCATCTTTTCTTATGTTGGCTCTTTGCAGAGTTCATATGGAGAGTGGGAAAGAGCTTCTCGAGACGTCACGAGGCATCACATCCAGATCCTTTGAATGCTAAGGTGATGAGGCGTTTGAAGGAGGAGATTCATGACGTCTGAATGTAGACCCATAATTAAGCAGAAAAATACCAACAACAGTACCATGACATGCTTTGATGCATTCAGAAGGTGTAGAGGTTGTTCCCGTCAGTGACATTCCCAAATGCTCCAGTTTTTTAGCTTTATGTTCAGAAGGATGACGACATGGAGGAGACTGATATTGATTAGAAGTCTTTGGCATTGTTGTGTGCTTTCGCCATTGTCAAGTGTTTGCTCCAAGTGGATCACCCTTCTAACCGGGAGATTGTAGTCGAGGAGGTCAGGGCAGTGGCTTGGGCAATTATTGCATTGTTGAGTGTCTTGTTGTCCCTGCTAATTGCCTATGGCTAGAGGTGTAAACGAACCGAACACGAAAGAACAGAGCTTGTGTTCGTGTTCGATTCATTTGAAATTTAGTTTGTTTAAAATAAGCTCTTATTCAAAATTGTTCGTGAAATTAATATACATAAATAATATATTATATTAATTATATAACATATATTATATAAATATATAATATCTATATTAGTATATTAGTATATTACTAATATAGCATATTAATAAATTATTATTTTTAATTTATTATATATTATAATTTATAAAATTTAATTTTTTAAAATATCATAAATTTTTATATATAATTATTTTAAATTTTTTTATATTTCGAATAATAACGATTCAAACACGAACGAACACATCACTGTTCATGTTTGTTTCGTTTAACTAGCTGAACGAAAAAAATTTGTTCGCGTTCGTCTCGTTTAGTTATCGAACGAATCGACATGAACTCATTGACGAACTGAACACGAACTGCTCGCGAACAATGAGCTTTTTTGACAACCCTATGACTGTGGCATATTACTGTTCCTTATTGGTCTTTTATATATAGTGAGTTTGTTGGACTTTGTACCGCTTTCTTACTTTCTCTGGGTGATTATACCCGTAGAGTTTTGTACTGTATTTTTTGGGATTCATGTGACTACTCTTGCACTTATTATTATTATTATTTTTTTGTACCTGTCTGTTTTTTGTTATACTGCTACTTTATGCTATTCATGTGTTGGAAAAAAAAAAGTTTAGGGGAGAAAATTATACCTTTCTACAAACTTGAAAGTAGTTCACATAGCCTGGTAAGAGATTAAATATTTAGAGGGTAACTCCCACCAAGAATTCTAATTTATTCAAATTGTTTATCAAACTTTTTTAAAAAGAGGACAAAATATCATTTAGGAAAGATTAACCTTAATGATTTAATAATAAGTTTATGGAACTTAACAACTTCTAACTTTTCTTAAAGAAACCTATAGATTAATAAAAAGGTGGAATTTAAAAATTAAGTAGCAAAAGAAAAAATGACTTTAAGTCTTTTTCAGTTCATTTTAAACAATTTAATGTAATCTTAATTTTTAAATTGAAAAGATAACCTATGGGCGTGACATTAAATTATCATTGTTAAGATTTATTGCTTAAGGAGTATTACTCTTCATCATAGTTAAAAGTAGAAAAGCAAAATATTGTCAATCAAATATAATAATTCTCAAGAGAAAAAGAAAATAAGAAAGAAAAAAGAAAAGAAAAAAGAAAAAGTAAAAAAAATGTAAAAGTACTTGAGAAGAAGCTTGAGGTTGGTACAACAAAATTAAAAAAAAAAAAAAATCAGAAGGGTGTTTAGTGGAACTTAAGTGATAGAGTTCATTATGATTTTATAGTGAACCCCTTAAGGTTATCTTCAAAGTATAAAAGCTAATGAATATTATGTTGGTTAAATCCACTGAAACGGCTTTAATGAAATTCAAGATTAGTGATAAATATTTTTAAAGATAGCCAATTGAAGAATCTATAGGATTTCTTAAAGGACGGAATGATGGGAATTAAGAAAAGAGTTGACTTGTTAATAATTAACGATAATTGATTCTGAGATGGCATTTAAACACGTTTAATCCATTTCAATAAACAAGTTGAAAAGTTAGTACCTATTATTCTCATGAGATCCCAACTGAACTATGAAATTACTTGAGGGCAAGTAATAGGGTAAGTTTGGGG